TAAAGATTATTTTTATTTCATGTATTTTTGCCTGCACATATGTCCGTATGAGGGTGTTGGATACATGGAACTGGAGTTACAGACAGTTGTGAGCTGCTGTGTGAGTGCTGGGAACCGAACCTGGGTCCTCTGGAAGAGAAGCCACTTTTAACCACTGAGCCACCTTCCCAGGCTTCATGTTGGTCTTTTAAACACTTTTAATAATATTGTCATTAATATTTTGTGTGTGTGTGTGCCTGTGTTCCTGTGTGTGCCAGTGTACAAAGACAAATGTCATAGCATGCAAGTGGAGGTCAGAAGACAACTTTGTGGAGTTGTTTCTTTATGTAAATTCCAGGGATTTAACCCAGGTCACCAGGCCCACAAACCAAATGCCTTTACCTATTGGGAAAACAACAACTACATAAGGGAGGGAAAGGTTATTTTGTCCCATGGCTCAGGGATGGAGTCCATCATGGTAGGGAAGATATGATAGCAAATGCATGGCTCCCTAATTTGCCCCAACCTAACATGTGAACATTTCATTCCCTCACATATATGTAACTGCATATGTTGATTCTTTTCTCTTTCTTTTTTTCTGGAGACAGGGTTTCTCTATGTAGCTTTGGAGCCTGTCCTGGAATTCACTTTGTAGAACTGTCTGGCGTCGAACTCAGAGAAATCAGCTTGCCTCTGCCACCCGAGTGCTGGGATTAAAGGCATGTGCCACTGCCACCAGGCTTGTTTTGTTCTTTTTAAGACAGGGTCTTACAGTGTGGCCCTGGTTGGCCTGGTATTTGCTATGCTATGCTATGCTATGGTCTCAAATTCACAGAAATTAAACTGCCTCCTAGGTGCTGCAATTAAAGGCATGCACCACTATGCCCAGATTAATTTTGTTGTTATTTATTTTTAGTTTTTATGTATTACCTTCATTTATGTGTTTGCACCACTTGCTTGGCTGGTGGCTTTGAGGGTCCAAAGAAGCATTGGATTTCCCAGAACTGGAGTTACAGGGAGTTTGTGAGCCACCATGTGGGAGCTGGGAACCGAATCTTGGTCCTCTGCAAGAGCAGCCAGTGCTCTTAACCTCTGAGCATCTTTCCAGTCCTGTCATGCTATCTTGTTTTTTGTAAAAGCTGTACTTTCTTCCCAAAGTCCCTCAACAGATTTGAGAAGAGCTGAAGAGGGAGCATAAAGGTCCCAGATGCCAGTTAGAAAGCCATGGCCCCACAGAGGAAGCTGCAATGTCTCCTAGGCGTGGTGCTGTCTTCTACAGCTCTGCCTGGATGGGTTCATTTTGGCTGTCAGCGTGACACGGGAATGCTCAGACTCCACCTGGTGGAAGTTCAACATCATCTTCCTGCCTCAGTTCTCTGGTGCAAGGACAGTTAGTGACCTTTAAAATGTTACTTTTATAAGCAGCAAAACTAAAACTAAAACAAAATATACCCACCTCCAAATAAACGCCCACAAACAAAAAACCAAAACAAAAGCCCCTAATATTTCAGTCAAAATAAATGAACACGTGCCTTATTTGGCTATATAAGTGTCTTCCTTCCTTTCTCTCCTTTCTTTTTTCTTCCATTTTTGGTTTTTTTTGAGAAAGTGTTTCTCTTTGAAACAGTCCTGGCTATCTTGAAACTCACTCTGTAGATCAGGCTGGCCTCGAACTCACAGAGATCTGCCTGCTTCTGCCTCCCAAATGCTGGGATTAAAAGGCATGCGCCACTACCGCCCGACTCCTTTCCATTGATATTTTTATTTTACTTACTATTGTGTTTATGGAGGATCATATGCCACAGTGCACACATGGCAAAGTCAGAGGACCATATCTTTTGTTTGTTTGTTTATATGTTTGTTTTAAGACAAGGGTCTTGCTTAGGAAGGATGTCCTTGAATTCACAATCTTCCTGTCTCCTTCCTGCACTTCTCAAGTGCTGGGATTGTAGGCATGTCTTACCACCCCTATCCATCTTTCTTTTTTCTCCTTTATTTCCTTTTTACTTTTTAATTTAATTTTATTTTTTGAGACAGAGTCTCTGGCTGTCCTGGAACTCACTATATAGACCAGGCTGGCCCTGAACTCATAGATATCCACCTGCCTCCACCTCTCAAGTGCTGGGATTAAAGGCATGTGCCACTATGCCTGGCTCTTTCTTTCTTTTTGAAAAATATTTTATTTTTAATTGTGTATATGTGCTTTTATATGAATATGTGCTTATGAGTACAGGTGCCCGTGGTGTTAGATCCCCCAGAAACTGGAGATGCAGGCAGTTGTAAGATGCTCAGTGTGGGTGCTGAGAACTGAACCTGCATCCTCTGGAACAGCAGTGTATGCTTTAGCTGCTGGGCCATCTCACAGCCCTTGTTATTTTTATGTGTATTGGTATTTTGCCTGCATGTATGTCTGTGTGAGGGTGTTGGATTCTAGGGTTATGGACAGTTGTAAACTGCCACCTGGGTGTGGCTGGAGTTATAGGTGAGCCACGAATTGTTGGGAACTGAACTCAAGTCCTTAGGAAGAGCTCTTAAGCACTGAGCCATCTCTCTAGTCCCCTTAGTCGATTTCCTTTCTTTTCCTTTGTTACACTCAGATGGAACTCAGAGCCTCACAAAATGCTTGACAGGAGGTCTAAGGCTAATCCACACCTCCAACCTAGATTTCCTTTCCTTTCCTTTTCTTTTCTTCTCTCTCCCCCCCACCCCCAGGCAAGGCCTCATCAGGTAGCCCAGTGGATTGAAATTTTAGAGTGGCCAGGCAGACCTTTGAGAGAGATTTTTCCAACTGCCAGAAGGAGGTGAAGGAATGCTTCCTGGAGATTCCTTGAGAAGATTTCCAGGCATCAGGCACAACTCTGAAGATCCTTGTTTAGGACCCTGAAGGGAGAAGCTGGGGGACAGGGTAGATTGCAGACATTTAGCAGAAAAAAGAGTTTAAAACGACTTTCAGTACTAGCTTACTGGACCCCCTTCTCAGAGTCTAGCTTGGTATTTGTTTATGGATGTGTGTCCATGCCTATGACATTTGATGGGGACCTCTCTTGACCAGCCCTTCCACCAGTCTCCTTCCCAGGCTGGGGTGTGGTTCACTCCACCCCTTTCACCAGTTTTATCACACACTCCCAGCCCTGGGAACTCAGTTTCCCAATCAGAGAGCAAATTAAAGGAAGGCGTGTGGTGAGGGGCACTCCACAACCTGACCTCCTTCTCGCCAGACATGACTTCTAGTCACTGTGGGATCCTCCCACTGGAACCGGGAGTCAGAGCCAGGACCCAGAGGAGAAACTGGGAATGCAGAACCGTGAGCAACAGGTCACCCTTCCATCTGAAAGATCCCCTTCCCCACCTCCCTCCACACCCCCACCCCTAGCCTGACACAATGGCTGGGTGGGGCTGAGGAACTGGCTTCCTCTGTGGAGATGGAAATCTGGGCCTTCAGTTCCCGCCCCAGAGACGAAGGGACACTTATTTGGAGACGTTGGGCAATATTTGGTGCTCCAAGGAGGCAGGAAGATACGCTGAAAACAGAAATTACCCCAAATCATAAAGGTAAATTCCTGAGGGGGGAGCTCTTCAGATGGGAGGGGAGAGAAGAGAGGTTCCCTGTGTACAAAGTGTGGTTGGCTCACACCAAGGCAATAGGTTGAAGGCTGGGAAGACAGACAGTTGTGCAAGCGGTAGAATGATAGCCAGACACCCCTTAGCTGAGAGGGAGGTATGCAGATGGGCTTGCGGTACTGCCTGCCAAGCTGGCCAGGGCCACCCCATTCTCGCCCAAACCACACAGCAGCACAGGTGAGGATGTGCACACAGTGCTCTCTCTCCCTACCCGAGTTCCAGCCTTTTCTAACCTCCAACACCTTGGATGCCGGATTCCTCACATCCTCTAGGCCCGGTGTGCGCATGTGGAGCGTAGTATGGTTGGGGGGGGGCGGTGTCCGGTTGGGAGGAGGATCGGATTCCTGTTTCCTGCCCCAACTCACTCAGCCCTAGGAGGTGACTGAGAGTGGAGGGAACTGGAGGGTAAGTGCTTGGGGCCCCCCAACTATCTCAGCCCTGTAAAAGGCTTGAGCTGGGAGTGGGGAATGAAGCAGAAGCAGGTCCCTGGGATGGGGCGGGGGGGGGGGGCGTGTGAGTTCCCTGAAGGGGCAAAAGCAAAGACCACTGCTTGGGTTCCCTCCATGAGGGGCTTCGAGGCAGCATGCAGGGGCCAGTGTATGAGCTGCAAGCTAAGAGGTCCTTGATGCTCATCTCTTCTCAAGAACCTGACTCAGGACCTGGAAGGCTATGACTTCTGATCACACAGGGAATTTAGGGGCTCTCTTGTGTCCCAGCTCTGATGTCCCACATCCTCCTTGTCAAGAGGAAGACAAGCGCAGGTCCCAGGTCCCAGTACTGTTGGTTCTATGCTTTGGCCCCAGCTTGTGGCCACCTTCCTAGGCATCCCGGCAGGACCCAGCCTTCCACTGGAGCTTCTCCCTGTGTCCAGACCCAAGTGTGGCAAGGATAAGATGATGGGGGCAGACGAGATCAGGCTGGGACCCCTGGGCTCCTGTTGTCAGAGGCGCCAGGAATCTTCATAGCAGGAAAAGGAGACTAAAAATAATCCGGAAAGGGAGAGTCCGGAGAGAGGAACTGGGAAATGGGAGGGGGGAGGGGCAGTTAGAGCAAGGAAACAGTGATACATCCCTGGGCTCAGGCACTGGCTTGCACGTGTGCGTGCCTGCGTGTGCGTATGTGTATACCCACACACTTTACCCAGATAGCAGAGACGCATACTCTATCCTAACACCACACACTCCTTGACATTTCCCTGACAAGCCACCGTCATCGACGCCACTCTTGCCCAGCATACATCCCAGAGCACACTCAACTCTCACTCATTCAGCACTAGATAACAGTGCACACTAACTCCTGCACATAGTGACTGTACCAGCAGGCTGACTTCCTTTCACTGCATCTTACTGATTCTCTGCTACGCCTGCCTTCCCATCCTCCCCAACAGCTTGTTCTTAGCCCCACTGTGCCCTCTGACCTGGTTGGCAGCAAAAGTCAAACGACAGAGAAGCTGGCCATGGCAGTAAAAGCCTGTAATGCCAGCACTCCAGAGGTTGAGGCCAGAGGATCTTGAAAAAGAAAAGCTACCCAGGAGGGTCCAGGGATGAGCAGGGGTGAGAAGTGAAGCAAGATGACAAGCAGGAAGGGAGGGAAGATGTTCTTCACCTGACTCAAAAACATAGTTTCAGACCTCCTCTGTCTATCCACCAAGGGTGTTAGGTTACTGAGGGGCATTTTCTCCCTCCACCCTCCTCAGGGGATGACTTCCACAGAACACCTTTCTCCTTGCAAACACTCAGAAGACGATGTCAGCTCAGTCCCTGCCTGCAGCAACGCCCCCTACCCTGAAGCCCCCTCGGATCATCCGCCCCCGCCCCCCTTCTCGCCATCGGGCTCCACACTCCCCGGGGCCTCCTCACAATGGTTCTCCTTCGAAAGCACTTCCCCAAATTCCCAATGATGCATCAATCTCAATGTGCACCTCCATCTTCTGGGAGCCGCCCACGTCTTCCCTGAAGCCCCCAGCCCTTCTGCCCCCCTCAGTTTCTAGAACCAGCCTGGACTCTCAGACTTCCCCAGACTCTCCTTCCAGCACACCCAGTCCCAGCCCAGTGTCCCGGCGTTCCATCTCCCCAGAGCCAGCACCCTGCTCTCCAGTGCCCCCACCCAAGCCCTCTGGGTCTCCCCGAACACTTCTGCCCTCGCTCCCTATGCCTCTCCAGGATGGCCCTGCCTCAGCCCCTGGCACGGTTCGTAGACTGGCTGGCAAATTTGAATGGGGGCCTGAAGGCAAAGCCCAGTCCTCAGACTCCCTGGAGCGATGCTCCCAAGGGGGCACGGATGTGAATGGAGAGAGAGAGACGCCCCAAGCCGCCCTTCCCGGGAACGGGTCCCAGGAGAATGGCACTCCAGGTAAGCCTGAGTAGCCCCATAAGTTAGCTCATCTTTTGTTCTCAGTTCTCGAAAATTGGACACTTTAAAGGGCTACCGTTTCTAACGTAGATTTTTTTTTTGTTTGTTTGTTTGAAAAGTCTAATTTCTGTGTTTCTTAGCGTTTGCAGATAGGGTGGATGAGAGCTACACATAGCTGGGGTTGGTCCTTTATGTGGGAGATGGTCCAGGCCCCCAAGAACTCCTTAGACAATCCCTTCTGTGACAGATGCTGCCCTGGCCTGCCCTCCATGCTGCCCCTGCGTTTGCCATGTAGCAAAGCCTGGCCTGGAGCTCCGATGGGTGCCTGTGGGGAGTTCTGATGATGTCCTCAGGGCTCCCTGCCGAGCATCCCCACTGCGAGCCTCCCGCTCCCGCATCAACCCACCAGTGATCAGTCATCCTCCAGTTGTCCTTACGTCTTATCGCTCCACTGCTGAGCGCAAACTCCTACCTCCCCTCAAGCCCCCCAAACCAACGCGAGTTAGACAGGATGCCACCACCTCTGGGGAGCTTCCACAGCCAGAACTGGAACTGCCTTCAGAAGATGGGATCCACACAGGTACAAGGCCTGGGAGTTAGCGGGGCCTGGAGTGGTAGGAGCTCCGGGCTTTGAGGGCACAGGGTGGGGGCTGAGGGGCCAGCTATAACCCCACCAAGCCCTGGACTTTTACTTTTTCTCCCAGCCGCTGCTTGGGAGTTGAGGGAATGGTAGTCTTGGTGTTGGTCTTCCTTGAGGCTGGGGCTCTGCATCTTGGGCTGGGGGTCTTGGAGGTTAGGTCTGGTCACTCTGGATTCTCTCTCCAGGGGACAGGCCTGAAGAAGTGCCTCAGAATGTTCCTCTTGCAGCCTTGGAGGGAAGGTACTCATCTCCCCACCTATGTTCCCCTCTTCTCTCCTCTCCTCGGCATGCTCTCACGCAAAGGCAGACAAACTTCAAGTTGCAATGATTGCTACCTTACCCGCAGAGCTGGGAAGGGGCAGGATTCCAGACACGAGGAGCCCAGGTTTCTAATGTGATCTCTATTCCTTAATAGTTATGTAACCATAAATAAATTCTCCTTTTCTGGGTCTCAGAGTCTTTCTCTAAGAAGTAGAAATAAGCTTGACCCTGTTCCATGGGGTTATTGAGGAATAATATTAAAAAAAAATCTGGGTTCCAGCTAGGCTTAGTGGAACATGCTATAATTCCTGCAAACTGAGGCAAGAAAATAATCAGGAGACAAGGCCAGCCTGGGATACATATCCCTGCTTTATTATTTTTTTTTTTATCATTATCTTGGAAGTCTGAATTAAAATTCTTTCTTTTCTTTTTTTTTTTAGGGTAGATTTTTTTGTTGTTGTTGTTGGTTTTGTTTTTCTGGACAGGATTTCTCTGTGGCTTTGGAGCCTGTCCTGGGACTTGCTCTGTAGATCAGGCTGGCCTGGAACTGACAGAAATCTGCCTGCCTCTGCCTCCCAAGTTCTGGGATTAAAGGCGGGCGCCACCAACTCCCAGCTTCTAAAATTATTTCTTAAGATTTATTTTTAATTATGTGTGTGTGTGTGCTTGTGTGTGTCTGCAGGTACTTATGAAGGCCCAAACAGTAGGATCGCCCCTGTAGGTTAAGTTACAGATAGTTGTGAGTCACCTGATGTAGGGACTGGGAATCAAACTCGGGTCCTCTGAAAGAGTAATACAGTCTCTTAATCACTGAGCCATTCATTTCTCAAGCCCTCTATTAAAATGATTGTTGGGTAAAACCATTTGGCAACCAGGCCATCTCTTATGCTTTCCAGGACAGCTGATCATCTTAGATTGTTTTCTTATTAGAAGTAATAATAATCCAGGCATATTCATTTGTTTAGAAAGTATTGACTACAGCAGCTTGAGAGAATGGCTGGTAACTAGGAGAGGGGAAAGACAGGGAGCCCCAGGTGTGAGAAATTGACCAAGTCACAAAGAAGGCCTTTTAGACAGTGCTCCTATGTGAGAGGGCTGGAGGGAGGGGCTTGAAAGTATCTACTGCACAGAAGCTGAGAGAGCAGGAATGTTTGGGGCCTGATTTGCCAAAGGCCTCCCCTCCAACGGGCACATAGGAGTGTTTGGGTTTGATCTGGGGAGCTGTCGGGATCCCTCCATACAATGTGCACACAAGTTCTGCACCTCTCTCTTCTGTTATCATGCAAACTACACCCACAGATCTTCTTTGCTTGCTCCACAGGGATGAGGAAGGGCTGGAGGTGTTGAAGGAGCAGCAGTGGGAGCTGCCCCTGCAGGACGGTAGGTCTCTCCTGTGATGGGCAGGAGGGAAGAGTTCTAGCCCCTGGACCTCCCTGATGTTCTCTGTCTACCTTCCAGAACCTTTATACCAGACTTACAGAGCAGCTGTGCTGTCAGAGGAGCTGTGGGGTGTGGGTGAGGATGGGGGCCCCTCTCCAGCTAATCCCGGAGAAGCTCCCACCTTCTCCAGGCTCCCTGGACCTCGAAACACTCTGTGGCAGGAGCTTCCGGCTGTGCGAGCCAGTGGTCTCTTAGAGAGTCTAAGCCCCCAGGAAAGGCGCATGCAGGAGGTAGGTACCCCAGGGTGGGACTGAGAAGGCTGGAAAAGGGGATAGAGGAAGCATGTGACCTGAGTCCTGGGCTGGTTGTGAGGTGGCTGGCCTTTCTACTGTGACCCTGCTCTCCTGTCTAGAGCCTGTTTGAGGTGGTGACCTCAGAGGCCTCCTACCTACGCTCCCTGAGGCTACTGACCGACACCTTCGTGCTGAGCCGGGCTCTCCGGGACACACTCACTCCTCGGGATCACCATACACTTTTCTCCAATGTGCAGAGAGTCCAGGGTGTCAGTGAGCGGTCAGTGGGGTCCTAAGAATGTGGGCCATGGGCTACCTAGCATGCTCTTTAGCTTTCTCCCTCTTCTAGATCTTTCCTTCCATGGACTTAGTTTTCAGCACTGCCCTGAAAACCCTGGAAAACCAGACTTTCTGCCCTCCATTAATTGCTTCCTGTATGTTTTCAGGTTTCTAGGAACATTACTGTCCCGTGTCCGTTCTTCCCCACACATCAGTGACCTGTGTGATGTGGTGCATGCCCATGCAGTTGGTCCTTTCTCAGTGTATGTGGATTACGTACGGAACCAGCAGTATCAGGAAGAGACCTACAGCCGCCTTATGTGAGTACAGAGGTTTCCCCCTTTCTCCCTGGAAATGTGTTCCAAGACCATCGGAGGATAGTACTAAACCTTATACGTCCATATCTAAGAAAATGACTTATGAACTATGCCCAGTAACTGATCAACAATAGCTAATAATGAAATGGGAAAATCAGAGCAATCTCATGTAATCAGACTGTCAGCATCACTGTTCTTTGTTCTTGCACCTGGTGGACATAAGTAAATGAAGGGTTACGCAGACACAGCTCCGTGACACCACCACAATCAACTTGATAGACAGGACAGCTACTAAGTGATTGGTGGGTGGGTAGTATATATACATGAGTACACTGGACAAAGGGTTATATTAGTGTTCCGGGCAAGATGGGATAGGACATCTTGAAAGTTTAGCATTACTAGTCAGAAAGGCACTCACTTGAAAATGTATGAATTGTTAGTTTCTGGAATATTCTGTTTAATGGTATTGGGTAATTGAAATTACGAAAGCAAAACTACAGAGAAGGGGGACTTCTGTATCCCAGATTTGGAGGAACCTGAGGAGTCATGTTAAGGCTGAGGCCAGGGTTCCCTGGAGGGTTCAGGACCCTACTTGAGGGCACCCCTAGGCATCTGGGCTTTCTTCACAGGGACACTAATATGCGCTTCTCCGCGGAGCTGCGACGGCTGCAGAGCCTCCCCAAATGTGAGCGGCTTCCACTACCATCTTTCCTGCTCCTGCCGTTCCAGCGTATCACCCGGCTCCGGATGCTGCTGCAGGTACTGTCCTGCTTTAGTGCCCATCTCATCCCACCAACCCTGCCATGGGAACTCTCTCCAAGGCCTCTGGTCTAGTTATCACCGTTTCCTATCCCACCATGACCACACACATCCTCTCAGGGCAATGCCTTCCAACCTCAGCTCCCTAAATACCTCAGGGGGAAGAAATAAACCATAGCTATTCCAGCGATCGTGGACTTCAAAGGGCCATCGTAAATACATAGATGTATAGTATAACATTCAATTTTTATGGTGGCTGTAGGGCAGGGCTGGGCACTGTATTTTAGTGGTAGACATTTTGCCTACAGTGTCCTGAATTAGGTCTTGGATATAATCTCCAGTGCAACTAACTAAATAAAACTTAAATAAATGAAAAGTTCCTTAGTTGGGTAATGCTGAGGAAAAAGATGGGGGTTTTATGAAACACTTCTTTTACATCTATTTGTGCTGTGTGGTGTGCATGGATGAGTTGGTGTGTAATATGGGAGTCAGAGGAGAACTTGCAGAAGTCAATTTTCATTTTCATCATCTGGGGTTTGAGGATCAGATTCAGGTCTTTAGGCTTGGCTGCAAAGTGCCATCCCAGGACACATTGCAGGAGTGCATTTTTGATTTTTTTCTGTGTAAGTCCCACAGAAGCTGTTACCCTCCAAGCCAGAGAAACACTTTTCAACCCAAAGTGTAGCCTCCCCAATGACTAAGTCAACTCTTTTTAGAATTTTTAAAAGATTTGTGTGTTTTGATTTTACGTTTGCGTTTTGCCTGTGGAGGATAGAAAAGTGAATTGAACTCTCTGGAACTGGAGTTAAAGACAGTTGTGAGCTACCATGTAGATGCTGGGTCCTCTGGAAGAGAATTGCGTGCTTTTAACTGTGGAGCTACTCTTCAGCTCCCAATATTGGAATTTTCTCTTTCTCTTTTATACAAAATCTTACTGTGTAGTTATGGCTGTCTTGCTATGTATTCCAGGCTAGCCTGGCTGCCAGAGTTCTGCTTGCCTGCACCTCTGGAGCACTGGTAATAAAGGTGTGCACCCCCATGCCTGGCAGTATTGGAACCCTTCTTATTTATTTACTGAAGATTTGTTTCTTTATTTTTTTGTATGTATATGAGTACTCCAGACGGAGACTGTATGACAGAGGAGGGCACCAGAGATCGTGTGAGCCACACGCATGTGGGTGCTGGGAATTGAACTCAGGACCTCTGGAAGAGCAGCCAGTGCGCTTAACCTCGGAGTCATCTCTTTTTTTTTCCTTTTTAAAATTTGTGTGCACTGGTATTTTGCCTGCATCTATGTATGTGTGAGGGTGTCAGAATCCCTGGAACTGAGTTACAGACAGTTGTGAGCTACCCTGTGGGTGCTAGGAATTGAACCTGGGTCCTCTGGAAGAACAGCTGGGGCTTTTAACCGCCAAGCCATCTCTCTAGCCCCCCCTCCCCCAGTACTGGAATCTTAGTGGGAAGAGTGTTCAACTAGATGCTGCTACTATTGTTTTCTTTTTCTTTGTTTTTTTTTTTTTTGATGTTGTTGTTTGTTTGCAGACAGTTAGCTTTTTTGTTTGTTTGTTTTTCGAAACAGAGTTTTTCTGTGGCTTTGGAGGCTGTCCTAGAACTAGCTCTTGTAGACCAGACTGGTCTCAAACTTACAGAGATTCACCTGCCTTTGCCTCCCAAGTGCTGGGATCAAAGATATATGCCACCACCCACTGGCTTAGACAGTTGGCAGCCAGTTGGCGTTGTTTTTTGTTGGGTTCTTTAGCTTTGTTTGTTTTTGCTGGTTTTTTTTTTTTTTTTAACTCACTATGCAGCCAGGCCAGCCTCAAACTTGCAGTCTTCTGCCTCAGCTTCTTGAGCGTTGGGATAGTAGGTGTGTACAGACTATCTTTTTTTTTTAAAATTTTGTGTGTGTGTGTGTGTGTGTGTGTGTGTGTGTGTGTAGGAGGATCAAACTGATACCTCACTCATGCTAAACAAGCACCTTACCATTGACTTCTAACCCAACTTCCTTAAGTTTTATTTAGCTTTATCTGGCCTCCATGTAGAGAACATTATAACAGTGACACCATACTAACTCAATGGTTGCCGAGAATGCTGTTCAAGGCCCAGTTCTAAGTGTTCTACACCTGTATAAACCCAGGGACAAGTGTGTGAGAGCAGGAACCATTATTTAGATGACGTTATAAAGGAGGATACTGGGTACAGTTGCATAACTTGGCCTAGGCCATGCAAAAATAATGGATGGAGCCAGATGTGGTGGTGCATGACTGTAATCCCAGCATTCCAGAGGGTGGGCAGAAGGATTCAGAGTTCAAGGCCAGCCAGGGCTGATTAGCAAAAATGTAATCTCAGTAAAACATACACGCTAAAAATAAAGTAAATGGAAATCCAGGCATTTCTAACTGCCCTGCTGTATTGTTAGGCTAGTAGTTATTAGAAAAAAATAGGACCCCCCCCCAGCGTTTATATGTGCTGAGGACTATGCTAAATCCTCTTTACATATCACCTCAAATCCTCACAATATTATTAGCATGTTAAGTAGATATCAGCTCCATCTTATAAATGGGGAAAGTGAGCCTCTGAACAGTAAATAGTATGACTTGCTCAGCCTCTGGCAGCTGGCTGGTCTCATGACCTTGCCGAGGGTTTTCTTGGGTGCTCTGTGAACCCTAAACGGACATTTGGCAAAGCTGGGCAGGGCCCACAGCACCTCAGACTCTCAGGGGAACGGAGGATCTCAGTCACCCTTCCTCTTTGTTTCCAGAATATCCTAGGCCAGACAGAAGAGGGGTCCAGTCGCCAGGAGAATGCCCAGAAGGCCCTGGGTGCTGTGAGCAAGGTGGGCAGGATGGAAGCTGAGAAGGAAAGAGGTGCCAAGGGTAAAGGGGAAGTGGAAGGGGACAGGTGGCTACTGGGATGGGTGACTCGATCCCCCTCACCAGATCATTGAGCGCTGCAGTGCTGAGGTGGGACGCATGAAGCAGACGGAAGAGCTGATCCGACTCACTCAGAGGTTGCGCTTTCACAAGGTCAAGGTTAGTCCTGCCCGGACTCTCCATCGCGCCTTTCCTCATCATGGTGTGAGGCTCAACCCTTCTCTTTCCTCCCAGGCTCTACCCCTGGTCTCCTGGTCACGGCGCCTAGAATTGCAGGGAGAACTGACAGAGTTGGGATGTCGGAGAGGGGGTGTGCTCTTCAACTCCCGTCCCCGCTTCACTCCCCTCTGTCTGCTGCTCTTCAGTGATCTGCTGCTTATCACCCAGCCCAAGAGGTGGGTCTTGCGTGGGAGGGGAAGAACCCAAGCTGGAGTGGGGAAGAGACATCTAGCAGGACATGCCTGCTCTCCTCTGAACGCCCTCTTCCCTGGGTAGTGGGCAGCGGTTGCAGGTTCTGGACTATGCCCATCGCTCCCTGGTGCAGGCCCAGCAGGTTCCTGACCCATCAGGACCCCCTACATTCCGTCTCTCTCTTCTAAGCAACCACCAGGGCCGCCCCACCCACAGGCTACTCCAAGCAGCCTCACTGTGAGTCATGTTTCTAGAAAATACTGTTGGGGGCTGGGGATGTGACTCATTTTGCCTAGTGTGCATGAGACCGGGGATTCAACCCCCAGCACTGCAGAAGAGAACAAACCAGCATGGTGGCATACCTTTATAATCTGAGCACTGGGGAGACTGAGGTAGGTAGAGGGGCCAGCCTGGGCTGCCGTGTCAAAACATGCAAACAGGCAAGCCACCCTTAGGACTGTCACCAGACCTCTCAGACTCTGTGTTCTATTGTTCTTTTTCCTCTATGGCCCCTATTGCAATCCTCAGGAATGTCTCTCGGGCCGCTGTGAACCTCTTCCTATGTTCACCACTAGGTCAGACATGCAGCGCTGGCTGGGAGCCTTTCCCACCCCAGGTCCTCTTCCTTGTTCCCCAGACACCATCTATGAGGACTGTGGTAAGTATCTCCCAAAGGGAGGAGGGAAAGAAATTCAAGTCTTGGGGGATATGGGATGGCAACTAAAAAGAATGATGTTACCATTGTGATGTTACCCATACTCCACCAGAGTGTTCCCAGGAGCTGTGTTCAGAGCCATCAACACCTTCCAAGACTGAGGGGCAAAGTCTGGATTCCAAGGTCCCCCGCAAGCATCCACACAAGAATCCTGAAGGTGAGAGAGCCTTTCACGTACTCGTTCAGCAAATATTCATTGAACAATATGCGCCAGACACATGATGTCTCATGACCTAGTTCTGGGATGAGTCTAGGGTCACACATGATAGGCAAGTGCTATAGTAATGAGCCCCACCCCCAGCCCTGGAGTACACTTTCTAACAGAGGAAGCAGACAGTGGAGGCTGAGTGAGCCAGGCCTGGTGACTCTGATGTTGGTCTCTGCTGTCACTTGAGAGGCACAGGCAATCAGATCTCTGAGAGTTCAAGGCCAGCCTGGTCTAAACAGTAAGTTTCAGGCCAGCCAGGATTATGTAATGAGACCCTTCCTTCCTTCCTTCCTTCCTTCCTTCCTTTCTTTCTTTCTTTCTTTCTTTCTTTCTTTTCTTCCTTCCTTCCTTTTCTCTCTTTTTTGTTTGTTTTTAAAAGCAGGGTTTCTCTGTGTAGCTCTGGCTGTCCTGTGAGTCATAAGGGGGATATGGGATGGCAACTAAAAAGAATGATGTTACCATTGTAACGTTACCCATACTTCACCAGAATGTTCCCAGGAACTGTGTTCAGAGCCGTCGACACCTTCCAAGACAGCCTGTCCTGGTACTTGCTCTGTAGACCAGCCTGGTCTTGAACTCACAGAGATCTGCCTGCCTCTGCCTCCTGAGTGCTAGAATTAAAGATGTGGGCCACCACTGACTGCTCTCAAAACAAAACAAACAAAACAAAACACAAAAACAAAAGAAAAGAAAGAAAGAAAGAAAGAAAGAAAGAAAAAAGCCCCAAAAACAGAATTTCCAGTGTTGGAAATTCTTTTTTTTTTTTCTTACAGCCTATATGTGTAGTCCCAATACTAGGGCAGTCAAAGCAGGAGGAATTGCTGTTTGATTGGGTTACATAGTGAATTCTTAACCAGCCACAACTCATTTGTCTCAAACAAAACGAATCTAAATGGGATAAATATGTATAAATTTTATGTAGTAGAAGGGGGTGAATGCAATGGAAAAAAGAATAGAATAAGGAAGGAGGGAGTTGTAGAGTTTGGTAAGATTTCCAATAGGTGAGATAGAACTCACTAGGAGGCAATGTGTGAGCCTGACAGAGGTGCTCAATCTAGGTTTTTGGTGTCTGTAGAAAGAGCGGACCAGCTGGAAGGCACAAGCAGGGCAAAGGCCTAGGACCTGTTGTGCAATAAAGGAACTGTAAGGAGGCCATTGTACCTAACTGATCCAGAAAAGGGGCTGGGAGCAAATGAGGTTACAGTGGTAACAGATCAGGCCTTGCAGCTTCTTGCAAGAATTCTTTTTTTAGATTTGTTTTTCTAGATTTATCTGGTTTTATGTGTATGAGTATTTTGCCTGCATGTATATCTGTGCACACGTGTATGCCTGGCACCTGCCAAGGTCAGAAAAAGGCACTGGATCCCTTGAGAGCAGAATTACAGATGATTGTGGGTTACCATGTGTGTGCTGGGAATCAAACCTGGGTCCTCTGGAAGAGCACCGATTTCTCTTAACTGCTAAGCCAGCTCTCAAGCCCAGAAGTTCTTCTGATTGAGTAACAGAAACAGTCATTGCGGGTCCCAACATGGAACAGCCACAGACTCAGATGCTGGTGTCACTTCCAAGAGTAGTAGTAACTGAAGTTGATCCCCAACCCACATGACCTGAGACCCCAGAGGTCCTCCTTCCCCAGTCACCTGACCTCTGTCCCTGCTCCCCACAAGCCTGTTTTTCTTTCCCTAGGCTGGCTTAAAGGGCTTCCTGGAGCCTTCCCTGCCCAGTTGGTGTGTGAAGTCACTGGAGAACATGAAAGGAGAAAGCATCTTCGGCAGCATCAGAGGCTTCTTGAGGCTGTGGGACCCTCTTCAGGCACCTCTGACACCCCTCAACCCTAATGCAGGTTAGGGAAGGGGCACAGATTGGGACACTGGCAGCAGCATGGAGAAGACAAAGTCTGCCCATCAATCCATATCCATCCATCATGTATTTGCTGTCAGTGGAAACACTACCTCTAGTGGCAACCAATAGACCACAGAGCTTCAGGGCAGAACAGTTAATGAAACAGGCCATCTGAGTCTACAACAAGAAAGAATGAGGATGGCTTGAATGTGTTGCCAGTGGAGACAGTGGCCATGGCCAAGACCTTAGCTATCGAGTATCACCAAAGGAAGATGAAGCCGGGGCAATGCATTGAAAAATGGCATCATCGGAGTAGTCCAGTAGACAATAGAGATGGGCAAGAACCCATTCGGCCAAAAAGATGGTGATCTGGGCTCAAGAGACCAGCGGTCACACTGCTTGGTTCCACAGAAGCCACTGATCCTAAGGTCCTTTGAGTATAGGAAGTATAAATTAATCTAACACTTCTATTTCTGGTCTACTTCCTATGCCCATTCAAACCACTTCCTTTCTTGTAGAAGAACCTGGAGTGTGTCTCAGAGAACATGTGTGCATGTGTGTCCATGCATATATGTATCTAGGAAGGCAATTCTGCTGAATGAGGCTGGTGTGTGTGTAAGAGAGAAAGAGAGAGAGCCATTCTTGTCAGTGACTGAAAGCTTCATTTTTTTTTTCCTGTTATTTTTCTCCAAAGAAGATGTTTGGCCTGAGTTCTAAAGAGATACTGAATATAGCCTGGCCAGAGGCTAGGACTGTGGATGAGAGTCATGGATTCTGGGTCTCTTGGGTCCCTCTGGATTCCATGATAGCTGAAGGATGGTGTTATGAAATAGTCAAATGTGCTGCAAGACACTGAGGGACTAAGTAACTGGGATGCAAGACCCTCTGCAGTCTGTGGATATTTTCCCATCCCAAACATTGACCTCCATATTCTATATCTGCTGTGCATATCTCCCAACGTGAATTGTCATCATGCCAGCCTCAGGCTGCAGAACAGGCCAGCCGGTGACCATTCTGGGATTCACTTCATCTAAATTGATCCTTTCAGAAACAGAGGGCCAAACTTAGTGGAGGCAGGAGAAGTTAGTGCTGTTGTCCAGCCTCAACTACAGTTTCTGCTGATGAGAACCTGCCTTGCATGATGCTGGAGAGGTGAGGGCAAAGATAGTAGAACAGACCATTGCTGGGGCTGGAGCTCAAGCCTGTGCAAAGGCTCTCTTCACAACCGTGCAATGCTTTTCCTTCATATATGACAACCTGCCCAGACAGAAACTGCCACGATGATTATGGGAGGTGAAATGACTCTGGGGACTTGAAGGTGGAAGGGCACTTGGCATGTCCACTGCTTTCACCCCTCCCACATGGGAAACCCTCAATAAAGGTTGATGGCATTGTCCTGAGGCTCTTAAGGCTTGAAGGAACAGTGATCTATAAATATGGTTTTGTATGGGATTAGTGCTGCCAAAGACAGGTGCCAAGAGACCCGGAGCAAGGCCTGCCTGGAGTGTGTTGGCCCCTGCACAGCTTCTTAGAGATCTGTACTTGCAGTGGACCAGAGGGCAGGGTCAGAATGGCTGGAGCTGTGTAGAGGGTACAGTAAGAGGTCAAAGGGCAGAGTCAACAACAAAGGCATTTCACTGACCAGCCAAGTATCTCTGTATTTGATTCCATTCTATGCCTGCTTATTGACTGTCTCTTAAATGCCATGCACAGTTCTGGGGGATAAAAAAGACAATGTAAGCTGAGCATTTGTGGCACAAGCCTTTAATCCTAGTACTCTGGAGGCAGAGGCAGGCGAATCTCTTTAAATTCGAGGCAAGCATGGTCTACAGAGCAAGTTCCAGGACAGGCTCCAAAACAATACAGAGAAACCCTGTGTCAAAAAACAAAAACAAAACAACAACAACAAAAAAACACAGACAAACAAAAAAGACAATGTAAGAAGTATCCTTCACCTTAGGAGGCCTATGTTGACTTGTTGATTCCAAAATCAGCAAATAGGTAAGCAAAGGCTGTGACACAAAATGGTGTTGGGGTGAGGGAGAGTAGCTTTAGGGAAGATCCTGGAGGAAATGACATCTGAGCTGAGACCCTGATGACAAGAGAAGCAGCTGTGGAATGGTCCAGGGAGTATGACAAAGGGACCAGGAGTTGTGGATAGAGTGGTGGAGAGGGACCTGACACATCTACACCTATTTCTTTCCTTTTTTGGGGGAGGGAGGGAGTTCAAACAGGGTTCTCTATGTAGATCTGGTTGCCTTGGGACTCTTCGTAGACCAGGCTGGCCTCAAACTCACAGAGATCCACCTGCCTCTGCCTCCTGAGTGCTGGGATTTAAGGCATGCGCCACCACTGCCTGACACATTTTCTTTTAACCCTTTCAATAATCCTGTAAGTCAGATACAAATATTGTCATCGCTATTGTTATGTGGATGAAGACACTGAGGCACTGAGCCGAAAGGGCAAGCCACACAGCTAACAGACTGGAGAATGGGTACCGGGACACAGGCCAGCCAGCTCCAGAATGCAGATGGGCTAGCACTGCCCTAGAGGTCAGGTCTGCCAAGGCCCTTAACTACTTCTGTTCCTAATGTCTGCTGTATGGCTGTATATCCAGGGAACCCTGATCAGAGAGTCATCCCTTGCTACTCACAAAATGGTTCAGAATATCCCTGAATCCTCAACAGAAGTAGATGGCAATTTAATAGACTAACATATGAGTTTGGTTCAGTGCATCATGGGACCAGGATGAAGAAGGATATTGGGATTTCATTTGTTTTGTTTGAGGACTCAATTTCACAGTGCATAATTGAGGCTGTTCACAAAAGAGCCACAAGGAAAAAAGGACAGCTTGAAGACTGTACAAAGTGAAACTTATTGGGAGGAGGGTAAGATTTGCTGACAGAATGGGGTCCTGAGAAGTAGCAGGAGCAAGCAGACTCCTGGGAGGACAAAGTGATTTCTGCCCCCATCAAATGCATTGGGTTTGCATTAAACCAACGTGAAGAGTTAAGCACATTCCTGGTGCCAGAGTCTGGTCATAAACTGTTCTTACCTGCTTATGGTTCACCAGGAAAGCAGACAGGGTAATCTGGAGCAATGCTGTTGTTACAACTTGCCTTGCTTAACTTTGCAAGGTGTGTCCAAAGCACCCAACAAACCAACTTGTAAGGCAAACTTCACTTTAACTCAGGGTTTCAAGTTTTATAGCTTTGCTTGCTCGCCCTGGTGCTCCAGGGCTGTGGCTGAGCAGAGGGTGCATGGCAGAGGGGGTCTGCTCTCCTCATGGTGAGTGAAGAGGAAACAAAAGAGGAAGTGGTGGAGTTTAGTGTCCCCTGCAGAGGCATGCTCTTTGGGGGCCCTGATTCTATCGGCCCCACGTTCTAAAGGTTCTTCCCACCAACTAATCTTGGTTAAGCCTTCAATGTATGCCCTCCAGGGGACATTTAAGATCTATATCAGTGGGATATGATGGCACCGGTAAGAAATCCCTGTATTTATAAGGCCAAAGCATGAGGGTCTTTGACTCAGTGCCATCCTGAGCTCTGAGCAAGATTCAAATAAACAGAATATAAGACCTGATCATAATACAGCTTAAAAACACCCATACTCAAGTCAAGAGAGTTAAGCAGATAGCCTAGGATCTGAGTTTTCATGTGATGATTCAACAAGGGAAGAATCTACTTCCAAATCCACTCACTTGTTGGTGGCATTTGGTTTCCCCACTAACTTAGCAACGGACAAGCTGCCCATCACTTTAGCCATTCATTAGAACCTAATCACTAAGTAAGGTGTGGTGCACATCTGAACCCCAGCATCTATGAAATGGAGGCAAGAAGATCCAGAGTTCAAGGCCAACTTCACAGAAAGTGAAGGCTGCTCATACTCACACACACACACACACACACACACACACACACACACACACACGCACATGCACTCACCTCAATCACTAAATGCTTACTCAAAAGGCATTACTGCTATATAAAGATACAAATAGCAAGAGCAGGGAATCACTAAATCTACTTACTGTAGTCAGTTAAAGAGGAAATAAAATAAAACCTTCCTCAACTCATCTTCCTTTAATTGTATCTCAATAAACAATTTCATTTTGTTTGTTTTGTTTTTCTTTTTTCTTTTTAGAGAGGGTCTCACTATGTACCTGGCTGGCCCGGTATTCTCTACACATACCATGGTGGCCTCAAACTCACAGAGATCCTCCTGTCTCTGTCTCCTAGGCACTGGGATTAAAGGCACACACAACCATGCCTACCTTTGGGGGGGGGCGTTGTTTTGTTAGTTTATTTGGTTAGGTTTTTGTTTGTTTTTGAGACAAGGTCTCCCCCTGTGTCTGACCTCAAACTCACAGCCATCCTCCTGCCTCAGGCCCCCAAGTCCTGAGATTACAGACATGAACTATCAAACGTGGCCTGATTTTTATAAATCTTGCAGAAATATATGCCCATGCAAATCAACTTTTAGGGTCCTCTGGGACCTAAAAAAGACAGTGCAAGTTAGGAGACCTGAAGCTTAAGACATAACAAACCAATATTTATTGACTTACGTAAAAGGTATTTAAAAGGCCACTCCAAGCCTTTTGTCCGCGGCAGCCATCTTCCAGTAACTCGCCAAAATGACAAACACCAAGGGAAAGAGGAGAGGCACTCGCTACATGTTCTCTAGGCCTTTTAGGAGGCATGGAGTTGTTCCTTCGGCCACGTACATGCGAATCTACAAGAAGGGTGACATTGTAGACATCAAGGGAATGGGCACTGTTCAAAAAGGAATGCCCCACAAGTGTTACCATGGCAAGACAGGAAGTGTCTACAATGTCACTCAGCATGCTGTGGGCATCATTGTAAACAAGCAAGTTAAGGGCAAGATTCTGGCCAAGAGGATTAATGTGCGGATTGAGCACATCAACACTCTAAGAGCAGAGACAGCTTCCTGAAGCGGGTGAAGGAGAACGACCAGAAGAAAAAGGAAGCCAAGGAGAAGGGCACCTGGGTTCAGCTCAAGCGCCAGCCTGCTCCACCCAGAGAAGCACACTTTGTGAGGACAAACGGGAAGGAGCCTGAGCTGCTGGAGCCCATCCCATATGAATTCATGGCCTAATGTACAAAAAGAAATAAAGACCTGGACTGTAAAGGGTTTTTCTTAAAATAAATAAATAAAAGGCCACTCCAAGGTACAAACTGGGGGAAGAAGTCTAAGTTTACCTGACACAGAAGTTCATCTTGCTCAGTGGTTTTAAAGAAATTGAGTTGTTCCACTGTGTGTGAGTGAGCACACATGTCTGCACGTCTTCTAACTTGCAGATGGAATGTATTTTAGAATAAAGCTTTAAAATAAATAAATTGCATTCCTGTGCCCATATAGAGCCATGCCTCTTATGTATTAGCTACTACAGTATTTCAAAAAGTGGCCTGTCATTATTTGGGTTTCTTCAGCGGTAGACCATTAGACAAAGATCAGGTCACGGGGGAGGTGAACCCATGACACACTTAAGAAAGACATAAGGAAGTGAGACAGGAAAGGGTTGAAGATCAACAAGGGCTATCAAACTGGAAACAACCATGACAGTTGAAGCCTCATTCCATGGGTAGCTGTAGTTGACACACAAAGTAAAGTCACAGGCTATAAAACAAAGCTTTATATATTGGAATTGCTGTCTGTGATGACTTCCAGTGTATAATAGCCAAGTTGAGTAGTTTTAGAGACTTACTTAAAAAGCTAAGGAATATTTGTGTGTGTGTGTGTGTGTGTGTGTGTGTGTGTGTGTGTGTGTGTGTGTGTACCTGAGTGTGTGTGTCTGGGTATCATCTGCATATAGTAGCCTATGGATGTCAAAAGAAGCATTCGATTCCCTAGAATTAGAATTACAACTGTGAGTCATTATGCAAGTGCTGGGAACTGAACCTGGATCCTCTGCAAGAGCAGGAAGTACTGTTCACTGCGGAGCCATTTCTTGAGCCCCATAAAAGCCCCTATGTATTTATTATCTGGATTTTAACAGAAACATTTCCAGCTCTTGTTATAGGATGTCACTTATTCCAGTCGGGGATGAGAAATTTAGGAAATTTGTTTGCCGAGCCTGAATCTGCCACCCTTCCCTTCACTCTCAGACTTTTACTTGGGTCATATAGAGGTTGCTGTGTTTACTTGTGTCCATCTTTATTGCATTTTCCAAGCTTTGTCTGTCTGTTGATGCTAAGAATGGAAATCCATTGAACAGTGTTTACTTTATGTATTGTTACTACATAAACATTCTGCTGCTGAACTGGAAGCCACTGAGATTACATTTCCTTTCTTAAACAACTGTCCTCTTTCTTTTTTTTTTCTTTTATCTTTCTTTCTTTCTTTCTTTTTTTTTTTTTTTAGGTAGGGTTCATGCCATGTAA